GAAAATTAAAATGTTAAGGCCATTATGTGCAGGTAGTTGTAGATCCGTTTAATGTCTTGTGAAATACACAGTGGTGCTTGAAAGTTTGTGAACTCTTTATAATTTTCTACATTTCACCATAAATGACCTAAAACATCATCAGATTTTCACACAAGTCCTACAATTAGATAAAGAGAACACAGTTAAGCAAAAGAGACAACGATATTATACTTGGCCATTTATTGATTGAGGAAAATGATCCAATATCACATATTTGTAAGTGGTAAAAGTATGTGAACCTTTGCTTTCAATATCTGGTGTGATTTCCTTCCTAAATTTCCTGGATAATTCTCTAATATAATTCAGAATTCATTGTTCCGTCAATGATGAGGAGCCATCCTGGCCCAGATGCAGCAAAACAGACCCAAGCCATGACACTACCACCACCGTGTTTCACAGATGGGATAAGTGTTTTTTTGCAGGAATGCAGTGTTTTGTGTGAGACAACCACTGTAAAAGTGAGATCATTTATGATAAATGTCCCAGGCCTCAAGCCTGACTGTAAATTGGCTGTTGCTTTCCTAAACAGCTTACGGGTGTGTTGCATAATCTACATCTGTCTACCGGTAGTTGTTCAGCATCAAACTTGTAGCCAAAAACCCAGCACTCAGGCCTCCCTTGCAAAAGAGATTTGTGATCTCAATGGGATTTGCCTGGTTAAATAAAGGTCAAGTGTAACAACGTCCCAGTTACTGTGAGCTGAGACTCTGTCCCACTTAAACTTCTGGTTTCATAGAAACTTTTTCATAAAGTAAACTGTGGCACCAACGCTACGTTTACCTCCTCCAGGTCTTCAGAGCACAAAAATGTGAATGAGGAGTCTTTCCTCCAATAGAAAGTACGCCCGGACCTGCCAGATAACCGCTCGTCCTGAGCCTGGTTCTGCTGGAAGTTTCTTTCTGTTATGAGGGAGTTTTTCCTTTCCACTGTTGCCTTCATGCTTGTTCGGGATGAGAGACTGCGATGAAGTGAAGATTCAACACAATCTGCTGCTTCCTTACATAGATAACTTTTAATAATTGTCTTTTTCTACATGTGAATGTTTCTGTTCAGTGCCCTGAGACAACTTCTGTTGTGATTTGGTGGTTTATAAATAAACTGTATTGAATTTAATTGAATTTTCCTTTCTCCAAACATAACTCTTTTCATTTAAATCAAAAACTTCTATTTTGGTCTCATCCATCCACAAAACATTCTTCCAACAGTCTTCTGGCTTGTCCACGTGATCTTTAGCAAACTATAGATGAGCAGCCATGTTCTTTTTGGAGAGCAGTGACTTTCTCCTTATACTCTACCATGACACCATTGTTGTTCAGTGTTCTCCTGATGGTGGACTCATGAACATTAACATCAGCCAATGTGAGAGAGACCTTCAGTTACTTAGAAGTTACTCTGGGGTGCTTCGTGACCTCTCTGACTGTTACATGCCTTGTTCTTGGAGTGATCTTTGTTGATGGACCAATCCTGGGGAGGACAATTATAGTCCAACCAATATATGGGGACCATAATTTAGGCCGATATCGATGTTTGGGGACATTCTAGTATCAGTGATAATTGTCTCATTATGCGTCTTTATAAGCACTTCTAATTTTCACCCCTAAAATGCTGGAAACAAGCCATATTTGTACAATGTGTCCATCAGAGAGAGCGTGAAGACAACTTTCAAGTTATTACTGTTCACGTTTGGGGCAGCTGTGGCTGAGTGGTTAGAGCAGTCGTCCTCCAATGCAAGAGTTGGGGGTTCAATTCCACCAGCAGTCACATACAGAAGTGTCCTTGGGCAATACACTGAACACCTCATTGCCTCCGATGTGTGTCCCATCAGTGTATGAATATGATTAAAGTACTGATTAGTCTTTATACTTGCATAGTAGAGTGCTATGAATGGGTAATTGAGGGCACAGATTGTAGTGTAAAGCACTTTGAGTATTTTGATAAGATAGAAAGGAGCTATATAAGTACAGTCCATTTATCATGTTACTTAAGTTTCACTTTCACGTTCAGCGCAGACGAAGCAAGGAGCAATAGTGTGTGTAGTGTATGTTGCTAAACATAGCATGGCAAGTTTATTAACCTATTGCCTAGTAAAATTTTAGCCAGAACAGTAAATATAACTTAGTGGTACATATATATATATATATATATATATATATATATATCAGTGTTAGTAAAGTTATCTTCGTCATCCTCAATGAAACACATTGTTTGTCTGAAATCTTTACTTCTCTAAAAAAATTTAAAAAAAACCTCTCCTGTGGTCAATTAGGCCTTCACCATACGTGAATGACTGTTTAAGGGTGTTTCTTTGTTTAATTTATATTTTTGTAACACACTTGACAATTTTATGGTGAAAAGTAGACGATAGAAAATGTGAACGCACGTTAGGAATACTGTTTTTATGACCAGTGCACCACTTGTAAACCTACTGTGGGACATGGATCTGATTAGTTTAGCTTCGTGGTTGCTAACACCTGCGCTAAATGCACAAGCTCCGCTCCACTCGCTGTTTGCTTTGATTCTTGGGGGTGGACAAAGCTAAAAAAAATTTCAGCCATTATATTAGTTATCGTGGTTGCCTTACCCTCCCAATATCAGTATCGGCGATAGTCAAAATTTCCATATCGGTCGGGCTCTAATGGTACACAGTCTGTCTGACGGTGGATTGATGGAGTCCAAACTCTTTACAGACGGTTTTATAATCTTTTCCAGCCTGATGAGCATCAACAACTCTTTATCTGAGGTCCTCAGAAATCTTCTTTGTTCATGATCCACTTCCGCAAACATGTTGTGAAAAACAGACTTTGATAGATCCCTGTTCTTTAAATTCAACCGGGTGCCCACTCACACCTGATCATCAACCCATTGATTGAAAACACCTGACTCTAATTTCACCGTCAAATTAACTGATAATCCTAGAGGTTCACATATTTTTACCACTTACCAATATGTAATATTGGATCATTTTCATCAATAAATAAATGACCAAGTATAATATCTTTGTCTCATTTCTTTAAATGGGTTCTCTTTATCAACTTTTAGGACTTGTGTGAAAATCTGATGATGTTTGTTTTAGGTCAGATTTATGCAGAAATATAGAAAATTATAAAGACTTCACAAACTTTCAAGCACCGCTTTAAACCAGCCTGTAGTTTTTCCACACACAACTTTAGCTTTTTTTGTTTTGCTTTTTATAAAAAAATTAAATTTAATGGCACGTGGAAGTTTTGTGGTTTTCTACATTTGAGGTGAGATCTGAGTCATTTTAGAACAAGGTAAAAAACAGATCCTTAAAAAAAAAGGATCTTTACAAATCCTCGTACATAAAACTCAGGAACTGAAATACAGACTTTCTTTTTCGTTTGACTGAGGATTTTTTTTTTGTTTGTTTGTTTTGTCTTTTACATCCTGACAACCTTGTAAAAATTTAAATGTTTCCTATAAATAAGTCATAAACCTTCTGAGGTGTGCTGTAAAGTGATTTATTTACCAGTTCTCTGTTCATGATGCTGCAGTGCATTCAGATACGAGATCATGCTGTCTAAAAATGCAGGAAATTTGCTTCACATGTTTTCCTTTTTTATTTTTATTTATTTAAGACCTTAAGTTAATTATCCACCCAACTCTATTCCTCATCTAAATAAACAGGCACCCAGGATGTCTGTTAGATAAAGTTCTTTAAAAAGCTAAACAACACGTTGTTTTAAAGACAGCTCTCGTGTCTTGAGAGGTATTTCTATTTGAGTGAAACGCGCCTGAACTCGTCAGAAAACTCCAGTAAAGTTTTCTGCTCCGTGAAGGAAGCAGCGCTCCCACCATCAGATCTGAACTTTGGGGAAAAAAACTTTGCGCTTCTTCACCAATTATTACGGCTGGGCGGTGCGTTCAAGTACCACTCGAACAAAATACAATTAACTCAGAAACGGACGCAGAAGAGTATGTGCTGAATATTTGATTAGTTTGTCTAGTTTTTATATATAAATAAGATGAAACTCTGTTTGCATTAATCACGCCAAGGCTCAGGTTTACATAGAGGTTTGTAGTTGAACCAACAATATTCAGTTATTACCCCCTCATTTCAATTTCATTTTTATAGATAGAGCTAAAACATTGTGTGGTAGGACAACGCCAATAAAAATAAATAAAATGTGGTGTAATAATGTAAATAAAACCAGAATGCCATATTTTTAATGTATATATTGTAAATATGTATAACAGGGATATCTGATATGGATAAGTATCTAAATAAAAATTTAACAAATTAACTCTGTTTTTTCTAAGTGCTTTGAGATGACTGTTATATTGTGTCTTATTTTAAATAAATTGAATTTAATCGACCTTCTGCAGCATGGTTCACCTTATTCATTTTAATCCAGTTGATGAAATAAAAATGTGTGCTTTGGAACAGAGCTGAAATTAAACTTGTTGATACAAACACAACTATTATTTTCTAGCTTTTAATAAAGTCCTGTGTAGAGAACATATGAATGAATTAGGCCATTATACCAGATCACTTAAAATTAAAAAAAAAATAATAATAATTGTTTCAAAGTAAAATGTTTATAACATCAGTTTTCTTTGTTTAAAAAAATTCTCATGTGTACATTATAAAAATAAACTACCCTTCTGATGAAATGTCAAGAAACTTAAACAAGAATTGTTAAATCCCTAAATGTAGAGCTTATTAGTGCTTTTTAATATAATACTTTTATTTCCGTGCTGCCATTGAATGCACCGTAGAGCCACGCCTTCGTGCGGAGCCGTAATAACTCGTGTAGACGCGCAACGTTTTTCCAGGAAGCCTGAAGCGCGGAAGGTTTGGCTGCTGCGTGATGCTGGGTGTGGATTAAGAGCCGTCTGATGGTAAAACGTGTAAAAGTAAACACTCACGGTCAAGCTGAACGCCTCCAGAGGAACTTCTTGCTTCAGGTCCTGTCGGGAATCCCATGTACGAGTCCGCCCAGACCCGAACCACCCCGTCCCTCTGGTTCTGCGAGTCCCCGCAGAGCAGCTGACAGAAAGGGAGAAGCAGAAACATTAAAACAGGGAAAAACAGAGAATGCGGAAAACAGCCTTTATAGAGGAGGCAACAATGCTGTGGTGCGTTTACTGCCACCGCCTGGCATGGAGTGAGGATCTGACAAAAAGTTTGGATGTAAAACACGTTCAGAACACAGCATGAAATGTCCAAACCAAAACTTTTTTCTTCTAATTTTAGAGGAAAAATATAATTCTAGGTTTGATGGCAGCAAGAGAAACGCTCATGTTTCCCACAGAGAAACATCTTTCAACATCAGCCTGCGCCTGAAGACACCAGCTGTTTTGTACTGAATGTCCTGTTGTTCAACAGCCTTGATTTTATTATTATTTATTTGATGCATTTAATGTTTTCAGCTGGTGAGAGGTCTGCAGGCTGCTCAGTTCACGACCTGGACTCTTCTATAATGATGAGGTTTAACATTGTCTTGCTGAAATAATATGCAAGGTTTTCTCTGAATAAAAAAAAAAACATCTTAATGGGATTATATGTTTAATACCATTCTACATAAACAGTGCCTTTCCAGATGTGTAACGCACTATAAGCACTAATGCACCCTTATACAATCAGAGAGGCAGTGTTGCACTCATTGGATGGTCTCTTTTCTCGTTAGCACTATTACAATTTACACTGATTTTTATGAATTTTACCACAATTATGGGAAAATGTGGTATTATAGTAATTGTTTTAAGATGTTAATTGATTTCTGGAGATTGTCTGAAGGCCCGTCTCTTGTTGTTTCATGACCCACGGTCGGGTCTGGACCCTAATCTTGTTTGTTTCAGTGCTTCAGGTGACAGAAGCACTGAAGGCTGTGGGGAGTTCACAAATAATTTGTCCCAATTTATGCGTAACACATGGGCAGATCTCCATGTGCAATATTTATTCAAAATCAGTCAATTTCTTGATATGTCCTTTTTATTGCAGCTGAAACGTTGAAGAATGTTTCAGCAATAACATGCGGCTGAACCTGTTGTGTCCTGTGTTGAGTCCTCGTGTCTTGTTTTTCTGTGTCATCTGGTACAGATCAGTCTTCCTCTCCTCTCTCCTGAGGGTTTTGACCCATCTTTAGTTCTCAGAGATGTTTTGTTTAAATGCATGAAGTTGCAAATCAGTGTGAAACTGATGAGCTCACATTCAAAGTGGTTTTGTGAGCTCTGGAAAGCTGAAACCAGAGACCTGCTCCCAGTTTAAGGCCGGTCTTTCTTGGACGTAAATGTTAAATATCCAGCTCTAATTTTAAAAATCTTGGTGTTATTTTTGATCAGGACATGTCTTTTATCCCCCACATTAAAAACGTTACCAGAACTGTCTTCTTCCACCTGCGTACTATCACTAAAATTAGAAACATCTAAAAATGATGCAGAAAAACTGGTTCATGCATTTATCACATCTAGACTGGACTATTGCAATGGTTTGTTATCTGGGTGTCCACATACGTCTTTAAAACGTCTTCATTTAATCCAAAATGCTGCTGCCAGAGTCTTAACTGGAGTTAATGGGAAAGACCATATCTCTCCAGTTTTAGCTTCTCCCTACTGGCTCCCTGTCAAATCCAGAATTGAATTCAAAATCTTACCTACAAAGCCCTCAACATCCTAGCTCCATCTTATATTAGAGATCTTATTTAAATTTTTATATCTTGCGTGTATGTTCAGGCTGCTGATTAATACACCATATTATATTACATTATTATTGTTTAGTACTTCTTAGATCCTTGTATACCATTTCTTTTTTTATATACTTTATATTTTTGCTATTTTTGGGTGTAACTGGGACCTTGAGTACACAATTTCGTTCCACCTCATGTACCACATGTGATGCCAATGGCAATAAAGAACCTTGAACCTTATTGTTCCATATTTTCCTAACAGAGCACTTCGCTCTCAGACTACAGGTTTACTTGTGGTTCCTAGAGCTTCCAGAAGCAGAATGAGAGGAAGATCTTTCAGTTATCAGGCTCCTCTCTTGTGGAACCAACTTCCAGTTTCTGTCCATGAGGCTGACACATTGTCCAGTTTTAAGACTTTCCTTTTTGATAAATCCTATAGTTTTTTTTTTTCTTTTTTTTTTTCATTTAGCCTTTATTTATACAGGTAGTCTCATTGAGCCACGAGAACTCATTTTCAAGAGAGACCTGTTTAGGGAGCACATGGTGGGGGTTAAGGGCCTTGCTCATGGGCCCAGAGTGGGGCGAATGAGGGTGGGGGCAAGTGTGGGTGTTTCACCTACACTTGCCACCCACAATTTTGATGTTGTCGGGGCTGGGGCGTGAACTGGCGATCTTCGGATCACAGGCCCACCTCTCTAACCTCTGCGCCACCACTCCCCACAGTTAGGGTTGTCTTGTTATGCTGCTATAGACTTAGACTACTGGAGGACAAATTGACCTCATTTCCTCATTTTGCTGCTGTCTTTACTTGCTCTACTTCATCTGTTTGTATTTGTAATCATGTGTTTTTGTCTTTCCTCCTATAGAAACTTCAACTGGACCAGTCATTCTGTGTTTATCCTGCATGTTCCTCTCAAACCAGCCGGTCGAAGCAGATGGCCGCTCATCCTGAGCCTGGTTCTGCTGGAGGTTTGTTTTTGTTAAAAGGGAGTTTTTCCTTTCCACTGCTGCCTTTGTGCTTGCTCAGGATGGGAGACTGCGATGAAGGGAAGATTCAACACGATCTGCTGGTTTCCTTAGATAGAGGACTTTACTAAGTGGCGTTGATATGTATGTGAATGTTTCTGTTCAGTGCCCTGAGACAACTTTGGTGTGACTTGGTGCTATAGAAATAAACTGAATTGAGTGGAAATGTCTGTCGTGCTGAGTTCCTCGCCGAGTCTCGCTTCATTTCTCGAGCTCTCGTCCATGCGGGACTTGCGTGGCTCAGTCAGGGATTTATGTTTTTTTGCTGCCATTTTATGGAACCTGCTTTGTAAAAGTGTCCAGGCTGCACTGGACCGTGTACACCATCGTGCTGAGTTTGGGTTTCAGCTTTGTGTCAGGCTTGAAATGCACCCGGATGCTGTGCACGCAAGCATCTGAAATACAAAACCAGACCGAATGGGATGTAATCCAGTGAGTTTCACTATAATTTGGACCTTCATGCATGGGACAAAAAACACTTGCACGAATCTAACCCAAGTAACGGAGGACAACACTACCAGGGCTAAGAACATCCTGAGGAAGGAAGTGGAGGGTGTGGACAGATACTTAGGAAAATGTCTGACCTAGAGCACGGACATCAATGCTGTAAGCAGACTATTATCTTAGAAAGCTCAGCTCCTTCAACATGTGAAGTGAGATGCTGGAGGTCTTTGTCTCAGTCTGCAGTGGTGGGTGTTAGCTGTGGTGTTCTTGAGGAGGAATTATAATAACCAGAGACAGATGAGTCAGTGAGAGATATGAGGTCACTCAACTCCATCATGGATACTCTGTCCCATCTCCTCCATGACACCCTACAACAGCAGTGAGGCTCTTTTTTCAACAGACTGGTTGCTGTTTGCTTTTTAATTGTCATTATGAGTTTTTATTGTCCTTAAATTTGAACGTAGTTGCTGCCGTGTCAATAATATTCTGTTCTAAACCTGTTTGAGTACATTTCTGAATAGCAAATGTTTTGTAGTTTTGGAGATGAGTGTTATTTCTGAACATATTTCTGAACAGAGAAAGAAGTAAACTGGAATGTTTTTGGTGCAAGATGTTCAAATGTATACCTGGGGCGGCACGGTGGCTCAGCTGGTAGAGCTGCTGCCTCTCAGCGAGGTCGTTGGATCATATCTCGGCCGGGGTCCTTTCTGGGTGGAGTTTGCATGTTCTGTCCGTGCATGCATGTTTTTTTTTTTACATTTTCCTCCCACAGATCAAAAACATGCATGTTAGGCTGATTGGTAACTCTAAATTGTCTCTAGGTGTGAGTGAGAGAGTGACTGGTTGTTTGTCTCTATGTGTCCCTGTGATGGACTGGAGACCTGTCCAGGCTGTCCCCCCACCTCTCGCACAATGTTGGCTGGATATGGACTCCAGTGACCCCCCCGCAACTCGAAAAGAAACAGGTAAAGATAATGGATGGATGAATATTCAAAACTACTATAAATATTTTAAAGAAGAATACAGTTTCAGAGTAGGACCTAGTCCTACTTTAGTAGGTAATAAATGTCATTTTCTGAACTACAAAGTATCTCTTTTGAATATATCCCATTTAAATGACACGTGCCATTAAATGATTGAAGATAGTTTGTACAAATTATTGTTTACTATCACTTTATTACTATTGTTATGACTTTCTTTTTCCTAGATGCAGTAAGAGGTAATCATGAGGGTTGACATGAGGACAGAGGAAGATTGAAGCAAACTGCTATTTAGAATTGGGTCCAATTAAGAGCATCTCAAACCTAAAGAATAACAGCTTTCAAATAAACGGTTACTTAATATTTATGCTGCATTAGACATGTAAATATTCACTTCTATAGTAATTTACACAGCAGGATGATGTTGAGAAAGTTGAACTGAGGCTATTGCAACACATTCTGTGTGCAACTTCTTTTACAACATCCTCCTAAGCAGCATAAAGTCCTGCGGTCTGGGTGCAAACTTGTATATGTGTATTTGTGTTTATGTGTAACAAGTAAATGTATATACTTGTATATGTGTATTTGTGTTTATGTGTAACATATGTGTAAATGTATATACTTGTATATGTGTATTTCATGTACTGAATATGAAACAGAGAACTGGAAGCTGAGCTCAGTTTTTCCTGTTGGTGTGATTAACAGTTTCTGCATCCAAGTCTCCTGAAACAAATTTTATTGTTCCTAGAAAATGTTATATTTGTTTCATATCTAACCACTTCGTGTCTCTGAACAGAGTTTAAACTGGTTTACTCCTTTGATTTATTAGTTTCCCCTAATAAACAGTACAAGCATAAAACAAACAGAATATTCCAGTCCAGTGGGATTTCTGTCATTTGAATATTATTTTTGCACTCTTGCTTTAATGAGGTAAAAAAAAATATGAGCAAACAGCTCATTCACTTGATTATATTTTGTCTTAGGTTTTTTTTTTATTAATACAATTCTGAAAAAAAAATCTATTTTATTTGTTTTTCATCCTTTTATTTTTTATCAAACGAAAAGCTGTTTTTTTTTTTATCAATCCTTTATATACAGTAAATAAAATAACTTTTATTTTTGTTTCTCAATGAGGGAGAGTGGCAGCACAGAGGTTAAAAAAAAGGGATCCTGTCATTAGAAGGTTGTCAGTTTGTTTCCCTGGACCAACAACATCAAAATGTAGGTGGGATAGGTGAAGCACTCACACCTGCCTCCACCCTCATTCGTCCCACTCTGGGCCCTTGAGCAAGGCCCTTAACCCCCACCATCTGATCTCCTGGGTGGCCTAGATAGCAGCTCTCTGCTCCACACAGAGGACTGTGGTAGCTTGGTGATCTGTGGTTGCATCAGGAAGGACATCCAGCATAAAAATAATTGCCAAGACTTCGTGCAAATTAGTTCGCTGTGGCGACCCCTGAAGAATGGAGCAGCTGAAAGAAGAAAAAAATTGCTTCTCAGTGCTGATTTCTGATGAAAAATTCCCATCACCAAAATTTGTTTTGTAAATGTCAATCAAATTTCAAGAAAAACTGACTTTTTTTGGCCAAATAATTTTTCGGCTTAATTCCACGTTCAGTCCAGCAGGTGGCAGTAATGCTCCTTTACGTCACTTTACCAACCGCGTTTTGCTCCGAAGAAGACGTCAGATTTGACGATGCATTTGGCCCTGCTGGCTTTCCATACGAACAGACGTTTTTGCGTGAGGCGTGTGTTCGGCTGGACAAGGACACAGAGAAGGAGTGGGACATTTTTACAAGTTCCGGACAGTTTGTTATTTTTGGCAGCTTGTTTAAAGCCCGAATCCAGGCGGAACCAGGATAAAATTCGGCAGGTTTTCGCGGCTGAAGGTAACCGTGCGGGCACATTTAATGGAGCCTGCTAGCTGTTAGCTTAGGAAGCTAGCAGCCGTCATTGACTCCCAGCATTTGGTTTGATGTTTGGCTAGCAAAAAGCCGGCTGTTTTTTTTGTTTGTTTGTTTTTTAACGAACTGTATTATAAAGTATTTGCTTCATAAGTACTTTATTTTGAAGCAAGTAGTTTATCATCGTTATGATTACAATAATTATAACGATTATTGTAATCCCTATACACAGAGCATTGCTGTCATTGTCATAACTCGATCTACACTCGCGATGTTATGTGTGTTATCCAGGGTTTCTGTTTTGATTTTGTTCTATTAGTATATATTAGCGAATTATTATTTCTATAATTGTCAGAGACACTCTAGTCTGTAAACTCGAAGTTCATGTAAAACAAGTATCCGCATAATAATAATTATTATTATTATTTGCACAGAGAGCTGGGTCTTTATTGCTTCATCTATTGCTTACTCGTAATCTTAATCTCTTGCTTACTATAATCTGAGGCCTGAATGTGTTTGATAAAATAAAACACGAACGCCTGTTTTGCCAGACGACTATAAACACTGATTTAAAAACCTCTATGTCAGTGAAACTATGGACAAGATTTGGTTACACGCTTTATTTCTTCACCCGTAAAATAAAGTGATGATGAGCTGTTTGTTTAAGACTATGATGAACATGTTTTTTGTTTGTTTGTGTTCACTAATGTTTTTTACTGGCTCACAATGAAAAATTTGATTCCAATTTCAGAAATTAGAGCAAAGTCCACTTTAAACAGTACATCTGAGTTGTTGTCATGCCATGAGTCAGTATCTTACCTGCAGAGGACAACTCTCTGACTGTCATTTGAAGAATCAGAAGTTGAACCAGTCAGGGTGGGAATCTTTGAACACCTTTTGGTTCAGTTTGATTATGATGCAATAATAAAATCTGGGGAGCGGTGGCACAGCGGTTAGAGAAGGTGGGCCCTTGAGCAAGGCCTTTAACCCCCACCATCTGATCCCCTGGGTGCCCTAGATAGCAGCTCTCTGCTCCACACAGAAGGCTGTGGTAGCTCGGTGGTCTGTGGTTGTGTCAGGAAGGACATCCGACGTAAAACAATTGTCAAGTCTTCGTGCGAGTTAGTTCACTGTGGCGACCCCTGAGGAAGGGAGCAGCCGAAGGAAGAAAAAAACAAACACCTATAACGGCCTAAAACATCGGCCTTACCGATATATTGGCTGGGCTCTCCTTAAAGCTGAAATATCTATAACATGCATAGCATGATTGTGTCCTGTGTCAATGTATACACAAATCACAGAGTAATATGTTATAACGTCAGCTATTTAAAGACATATTCTTAAGATTTCAAGAAGAAAGATTAAAAAAAAAAAGTGTGAAAACACAGATTTACTGTAACCTGCATCTAAAAATAGACCCTCAATGATTAGGAACCATTAGATTCCAATTTGATTTCTGTTATTTTAAACAAATTCCATCTCAAAAGTCTCAGTTCTTTATGTGAACATTTAATATTTTTTATACACATTAGACTCTTGTTACATAGAAGAGTCTATAAATAGTAACAACGAAGGACATTTGATAAAAGTACTGTGGTGTCAAAACCCCAACGTTTTATTAGTTGAAGCAAATTTTATTTTCCTAATATTTTCCCTGCCTTACTCATCCAACTGATTGACCACATTACTTCCTGTCTAGTTGCTTTTAAATTTCAGCCGAGTGTTCATTGTGCAAACTAAATTTGAGGTTAGAATAAAATAGAGCGACATTGCGTCACTTCTCTTTTAAATTGTGTTAAACTGCTGGTGACAAACTGGAAATAGCAGCGGTGCCCTTCCTCAAAAACTGTGTTGAAATGATAAAAAACGAGCTATCGGTTGTGACGATCAACAAAAAGTAAATAAAGTGTTTGCCCTCTTCTAGACTCATCTTGATTTCTTTTAAATAACATATTTTTGTCTGATTCTTCTGTATTGTACCACCCTGATCTCTGGACAGTAACATGTTCTGTTACAGCACAACTATAGAATAAGGATTGAATTAGTTTGTTGTGGTTTTGACACAAGGCAGACATAAAAAATATTCAAATAAAGGAGCTTAACAAAGAAGAAGACGTGTGTTCATAATTCTTACTGGAGCAGTAAAGTTGATCTGATGGAAAGTTCACCTGCTCTCTTTGTCCTCTCCCGTCAGGTTTACTGAAGACCCTGGATTTATCCCTGCTGGCCCTCGGTGTCCTGCGGGCTGTAGGTGATGGTCTGTTTCTGACCGGGGCGGTGCTGACCCCTGCGTTGAATGGCTGCGAGGAAAGGAGGCGTAGCATTCTGTGTGGGGAGGGTGTGCAGCGACAGCAGAAGACGGCCCATTGAAAAACACAGCTCGACTCTCAGTCAGGTAATCTGCTGGATTCTAACATTAACACGCTTCAGCCTGCTGCGTCGGTGTCGGTTGATTCATGTAGCGCAATAAACAACAAAGGTTGACCAAAGTGCTTCACAATTTACTAAAATTTAAAACTATAAGAATAAGGAAATACAAGATATACTGTGTCATCAAGGAAACGAAGAAAGTAAAAAATTAAAACAACACACGGCAAAGAAAAAAACATCAGCTCTCATTGGTTCTCGAACTCTGCCTGCATCAAAGGCCAGGGAAGAAAGACGGGTCCTGAGCAAAGCTTTCGAAGTCTCAGTGGGTTTTAAATGATCAGCTATTACACAGATATGGAGCAGCAACTGCAAAAGCTGAAGAAATGTTAGTTCCAGCAATGAACTTCTGAGTTTAGGTTCCATAAAAAGTTTCCAGTTCACGGAAGGCTGCTAAATGCTTAAAAAATACAAATCTACAAACTGATTAAAAAATAACGAGAATTTTTACTTTCTGAAAAACGTGAACTGGTTTTCCTCTTGTCGTCCTGATGCTCAATAATCCAGGTAGAAAAATCTAACAAGGATGAGTCAGGTCGTCTGGACGGATTCTTCTTTGTTGGAAATGTTTTGTTTTTATCCAGAAGACTTCTTCAGATTTTCCTCTCCTTTCACACTTTGCTGGGGGGGGGGGGGGGGGGGCCTTCAGCTCAGTGAAGATGGTGAATTATTGCGCATGTTGTGAGCTGGTTAATTACAAAAATAAGTCAGGTGCCAACTTCTGTTTTGGTGTGTGGCTACATCTAAGAGTAAGAAAAGTTTTCAATCAAAAATTGGGTTGCTACGTCAAAATCCAAGATGGCTGCCGCCATATACTTAATGTCTATAAGGCGCGTTAAGCGAAACAAGTTCATGTTGACAGATTTTTGAGCGCCGTGTACGACATAAAATCGGTTCGAGATCAGTAAGCACTACCAGAATTAATACATAAGGCGCACCGGATTATAAGGCTCACTGTTGATTTTTGAGTAAATTAAAGGATTTTAAGTGTGTATTATAGTCTGAAAAATACAGTAAATACAGGTGCATCTCAAAAAATTTGAACAACGTGAAAAAGTTAAATTTTTTAGTCAAACAAAGTGAAACTCATAAATTCTATAGATTCTTCACACAGTCAAATATTTCAAGCCTGTTTTCGTGTAATTTTGATGAATATGGCTTACATATGATGAAAAACCAAAATTCAGTGTCTCAGAAATTTAGAATATTGTGAAGAGGTTCAGTATTGAAAGGCATGTGCATATACAGTATAAATACTATATATATCTATCTATATCTATATATAGATATATAGAGATATATAGATATATATTGATTATATATATATATATATTTTTTTTTTATATATATACTGTGTGTATATATATATATATATATTTATTTTTTATATACTGTGTATATATAATGACTGAACTGAAACATGAGCAGTGTAACTGTAATTACGGTAGTCTTGTTTTCAGTACTAAAACTCTAAATCATTGTTGTTCCTTTCAGGTTTTTGACTGTCAATGGTTGTGTCGGCCCCGCCTGCTGAGCAGTGCCACCTGGTCCATGGCACCTCCTAACAGCCTGAGGTACCAGACCCTGAAGCAGCCCCTGCTGTCCTATCCTCTGCATCATGAGAGCCAGCAGAGACTCAAGTGCTACGAGGAGGACTGGGAAGAGTCCTTGGGCGTGTGCGTACTGGTGCAGCACGACGAGTCCAACGACATGCGCACTCTGCTGCAGCTCTCCGTCTTTAACGACATTAAACCAGGAGAGCTGAAGACCACAGGGATCCAGAAGCTCCTCGATTTCCCGTTTCCACTGACGACCATCAATGGCAGTCAACAGGATGACATCAGCTTCGAGAGACTGCAGAAGAACCGAGCCGACGCTGCGAAGAGAAAAGACGACTGCTTCAGAAGCCTGTTTGAAGCAGAGGGCTGTCCTGCTCCCTTCGTGCACGGCTCACGGTTTTATTGCTTTCATTGTCCGGGAACAGTCGAGGCTCCTGTCGGTTTACTAAAACCCAGCCATGACAGCGGTCTCAAGAGGAAGTCTGCAGAGCTGCTCCCGCTGCTGTCTTTGCCTCAGTGCAGCCGTGCAGATGGAGGAGAAGAACGGCTTCATGAGGGGGAGAGTGAAGAAGAGGAGAAACTGGCCATAATGTACGAAAGATTGAGGGTAGAGGTAAGAGCCACCAGTTAGTCTGCTCATTGGGCAGAAACATGCTCAGCTGTCGGCAGATGTTTTTTTATTACCTTATTATCGTGTTGGTATGAAAACACAATAAAGTCAGTTTTATGGTCCAGCAGGCTGCAGGCGTGTCACACTGTTACAAAAGGGGGCCAAAAATGAAAAGCTTGATTCAGACCAATCATTTGCTGAAGTTATTCAACATTCTCTGTCACTCTTTCACATCAAAATCAAAGATTCCTGAAAAACTCTTTTTTTTTTTGGCCTCAAAGTTGACCAGCTGTCACGAGAAGTCTGCATTAAATTTAAATTTTAAATTTCACCTTTATTTATGCATGTAGTCTCATTGAGTCATGAGGACTCATTTCCAAGAGGGACCTGTTTGGGAGCAGATGGTGGGGGTTAATTGCCTTGCTCAAGGGCCCAGTGGAGGGCAAATGAGGGTGGTTAGTTTCCCGTTTGTCAGACAGGTTGATCTTCTTGCAGAGCTCCATCTTGTTCCCAGCTACGTGTTTTTCTAGAACGTCCTCTCCAGGCAGTCGATCTGCTCGGCTGTGAACACCGTCCGCGGCCTCCTGCCCACTGGGGGTGATGGTGGCGACGTGGAGGTGCAGTCGGCGTGGGTGGAGGGTGACAATTTAGAGTCACCAATCAGTCTAACATGCATGTTTTTGGTCTGTGGGAGAAAACAAGAGTACCTGGAGAAAACCCACACATGCACGGAGAGAACATACAAACTCCACCCAGACAGTGCCCCAGCCAGGATTCGATCCAACAACCTTCTCGCTGAGAGGCGGCAGCTCTACCAACTTCGTCCATAAAAAATATTTTGCATTTGAAATCCTCTTGAGGCCAGACAAGACGTTAACGGGGGCCAGATTAGGCCCTCGGGCCTTGATTTGGACACGTGGAGCACAGGCGTGTGGAAACCGTTTGCAGACACCAAAGTCCATGCTCAATAATCCAGGTATACAATCCAACATTTTTCAGTCAGGTCATCTGGACAGTTTCTTTTTTTTGTGCTGAAACGTTTCGCCTTCGATCCAGAAGGCTTCATCAGACAAAGAAACACACAACACAAAACTGATTCTTCCCCCAACAGTTTACTCCAAAGTGGAACAAACCAGTTATGTTGGTGCTAAGATGGTCTCTTTGTCACGCCCCCTCCTCCATTGCCGGCCCTCTTCCTTGTTGACAGTCTTGTCAAACTGGTTGAAAACAACAAAGTCCATGCTCGTTCGCAGACAGTTTCTGAATATGAGCCAGTTGTTGATGTTAGTTTTCTAGCGCTCAGTGTAAACATCTCTTTTCAAAGTATGACTTGTAACCTAAAAGGTATCTCTCACAGGTTTTTCTTTGTTTTTTACCAATAACTAGTCCTGTCACAATAAACAACAAATCAATTAATCACATGATAAATGAAAATTATCAACCTCATGTTCATTTATCAGCTTTATCGTTTCTTCGTGTCTCTCTCTTTCTATTGAAGACACTGGATGACAAAAAGCTCAACTTCAGTGATCTTCTCTGACCCCTCCCTTTCTCTTTAAAATCCGTTTTAACGTCCAAAATTACCTTTTTGCATCGTTTAAAGCAGCTAAGCTGAGAAGCTAAGCTACGAGCTAAGCTAACAGGCCGACCTCGGGGAAAAAACCTCCGTCTTGTCGAAGCTCCAAAATTCACAGTTGAAACCTGTGCCTTCGACTAAAAAGTTGTTTTTCTCTGCAAAAAGAAGCTGAGAACTTGTTTACTGATTTTTTTTATTAAAAACTTAGTGTGACAAATGCTATGCTAAAGAGCTCAAACCACACCAAGCGTCCGCCATTTTGAGAACTGAAAAACAGGAAGGAGGGACAGCCCATGTCACGTCAAGGGGCCTCCCTCCCATTTTCTTAAAGAGAAGCTGCTCGCTCCCTCACTATCCATCCTTCACTTCAGTCTTATACTGCCATCCAGTGGTCAAAAAAGGTATGATACACAAAAATTAGCCAACAGTTTTTCTTATATTTGACAATAATGACTAATTATTGTTCAATTTCAAACAATATTATCGTTTATCGCAATACTTTCTGAGACAATTAATCGCCCATAAAAATTTGTTATTGTGACAGGCCTACTAATAACTACAGTGTAATTTTTTTTAAATAAACGCACAGCTGCGTAATTAAGCATGTTGCAACTGCAACAGGAGAATGTGGATGTTGACCCAGAGGCCGTACTAATGGAGGAAAATACACTTTTTTTTTGTTTTTTTCCTCCCAAAATTACCTTAAAATAAATATTTTGTCAATTTTTAAAACATCTGATGTGGAGGGTTTTTTTAAACAAAAGACCCTTAAAGAGAAAAAAAAAGTACCGGTAATTGAAATGAGTTATTTTTTTAATTCAGGCTGACGGTTCTAAAAGACTGATTAGTTTTTCTTGGTAAAAATATTTAAAACTAGTATTTTTAATCATTTAAATAAGGTGGTTGATTTAACCCCTGAGGAGCATGAACAGTCATAAAGTTAAAGGGTTAAAACAGTCTCATTCAGATGTTCACAATACGGTGCTTTTGACGTTGATCAGATTTCATGATCTTTTCTGTAGTTACAGAAAACAAAGTGAAGTTTTTGAGCTGCGTGTATTCAGCTGGGCTGCTGCAAGATAAAGAATAAAGATAAATTCAGTGTGAACTAATTCTTTATTACATTCTTGAAAGGATGGTAGAGGCAGGGCAGCCGACTCGGGACCCGAAAGTCCCAGGTTTGATCCCCAGTCATTGCACATGATGTCATGGTGGTGTCTCTGAGCAGCACACCTTATCCCCTACATGCTCCCCAGGTGCCCTCAATAGCTGCCACTGCTCCACCTGGTGGTGGATGGGTTAAATGCAGAGATCTAATTTCACCATTGTATGGGAACATACAGTGATGACAATACACATCATTATTATTATGCATGTTATCTTTCTCTACAAAACTGATTGACAGCAGCTGCTGTTATGACGTCATAACTCTTTTCATGCCTGTGATGCTGGTGAGACATGTTCATCAGTGTTTAAACAGTCTGTGTTCACCAACATTTTCACCACACACAATACCTATGTGCTGATGTTGGGAACGACTCCAGCCTCCTACAGAAACGATTATTGAGAAGGCCGACGACCCATCAAGTGTTAAAACTCGTATCTGTGTGAATAATTAACTCTAATTAGAGGCCCGAACCCAAAGCAAACTTGACATGTTGTTTTAATTAAGCTTTTACTGCTTTAGTAAGCAAATCAGTTTGACATATTTAAAAAATATATTCTAAAGAAAGGAGGATATATGTTTTTCTTTTACCAAATGGATATTCACATACAAAACTAATAGCCTAAAAAAACATCTCTAAAGAGGCTATTATACAGATGAACAAAAATATTTGGAAAAATATAGAACAAGCCTTTTTTAATTTAGACCTAAAAGAAAGTCGTGCATAATTTGAGTCATGCTGTCGCCGATGGAGCGATTTAACCTACGCCCAAGCAAAGCAGAGTGGGCGGGGCCACATGGGCGAATTAGTTGCGCAATGCATCAGCACTACTCTCTTTTCATAGTCTGATTACCTTCTGCACTCTTGTTTTATTTCTTTCCTCACCCTCAACATATAAACTTACTGCCTCCTCCGCTACAAGTAGATTAACACAATTCTATGGCGTGCATTCTTATTTAGTTTTCTTTGTGCTGTATGGTTCGTAAAACTGCACTGTAGAAGCACCGCCCGAATTTCAGCTCTGTCCATAAATCGCAACTCTAATTGCACCTGTTGGTGGATAAATTAGTTCCCTCCTCTCTCCAGGATCCGTCACTCTGCTCTGTCTCAGACAACAAAAACCTCCCTCTGTTCTCCTCCACAGTGGAACTCCTGCACACGTGAATGTCTTGCACCAAAAACATTAAGGTTCATTCTCTGCTCAGTTCCAGCCCAGAAAAACACTGTCTGCACTGCAGAACCAGGTTCAGGATGGGCGGTCTTCTGCCTCGACCAGCTGGGGACAGAGAGGACAGGAAGGAGACAGAGAGGACAGGAAGGAGACAGAAGAAACGGGCCGGCTGTGGTTCCTATGAGAAGACGAGCAGAGAACAGGAAGTTAGTGACGGCAAAACCAAACACACAGAGTGGAGAGTAAGGAGCAGAATGAGGAGGCGTGCTGAGGATGTCCTCCAGCAGTCAAGTCTATAGGAATAACTCAGGAAACCCAAGCCAACCCTAACTATAGGATTTATCAAAACAAGTTGTCAGTTTTATTGACAGAACCAAGTTGGAGCCTGAGCACTGAAAGCGCTGCGTCCCATTCTTCTTTTAGAAAGACTAGGAAGCACAAGTAAACCTGCAGTCTGAGAGTGAAGTGCTCTGTTAGCAAAATATGGAGATTGTAATAGAAGATGGAGTCCAGTTGTTGAGAGCTTTATATGTTAGACATCTGGCTACATATTGAGCAAAAACTAGAGACATGTCCTGTGAAAATGAACATTAACTGCTGAACTAATTGTAAACTGTTGATGTGAGTTTAGTTTGAACAGCCGACATTTGCTGAAAACGGAAATAAAAGCCGAAATTTTACAGAAATCAGCTGAATTGTGATAGGCTGAAAGGTGATATAGAGTACAAAAAAAAATCTAAACTTAGAAAAACGAAATTGAAATGAGCAGAAATTAAAAAGGCAGCTGGAAATGGCTTTAAAAAAGAGCTGAAATTAGAAGGAGCTTAAAAAGTTGAAAATTAATCACAAAACATCCCAAGGTGAAAATTTGTTAGGCTTTTTTTATTGCAGAAAACAAATCTGAAAAGAGTAGATGAATATCTAAAAATCAACTAATATTAGCTAAAGGAAGCTGAAAACAGCTGAAGCTGAAAACAGCTGGGAGGTTTTGAAGGATGTGAAGAGAGCTCCGTTCATTTTCAGCGAGACAAACATGGCCGACAAAGCTAAATATTTCAAAAAGTAAAAACTGCACAAACGCCAAAAAGTCACAGCCGGAATGTCCTGAATGAGCCGAAGGTTTTGAGACACGAACTGTTAAAAAGTTAAACAAAAGCAGAGGAACGAGTTGCGTGATGGAAAACGTGCTGAAGAAAATGACGAGAAAGATTCAGAAACGTTCACACTATAAACAAACAAACAAACTACGTTTCCTTCAGCATCTGTTTATCACTTTCAGCTCGTCTCACATGCATCGCCTCATTAGGAAATGATTTCCTGTTTGTTTTGCAGCTTCCAAGATTGTTTGCGAAAAACCACGACTTCGGTATGTATTCGACCGACCTGGAGTTCATCAACGGCCTGACGAACAGCAGGAGCAGGTGATGAGCACGTCCAGCTTCTGCTTCTGTCCGTGTGTTTAGCTGATGCTCTCTCCCTTCATGCAGGGGTCTCGTGGCGTACCGGCTCACGCTCACCCTTTGGCGCTTGCTGTGTTTGTGTTACTACGCCCATGTTCGGCTGGAAGTTCTGAAGCTCACTAAGCACACGGAGGACGGGTCCATCAAGGCCCGCTGGAGGGTCAGAGGCCTGCCCTTATACACTCTCTTGCTGTTCTTCTTCCGCAGAGACAAGTCCCAGCTGTACAGGTAACGGCTTGTCCAGCCTTGTGCACCTGCTCCGTCTTCAGGAACTCGTCTTTAAACGGTTTATGTGTCAAACTGTTTTTGATCAGAGCTACTGTCTCCTATAGGTCGTACGATGCGTTCTCCACGTTTTACATCGGACATGACGGACTCATCCGTTGTCACAAAGTTGAAAAGGTAAGCAGTTATCACAAATACTGGAGGTAGAGACGTAGAAAAAAAGAAACTCCACACTCTGTCAGCTCTAGGGTTCTACAGGTTTTTTTTCAGGACGGAACAAAGCGGACCTGGTCTTCATCGGGTTCTAAAACGATCCAAATCGAACCTCGAGGGAACAAGAAACAAACTGCAGACTCCACCGAACCGTGATTTATTAAACGAGCATTTGAATAGTGAGTGTTTGTAGTTTGGGAGACGAGTGTTTTTCTGGACTGGAACTGAACAGAGAATGAAGTAAACCCGAATGTTTTTAGTGCAAGATATTCAAGTTGGTATAATAAAGTTGTGTGTGTTTTTTTTTTTTTTTTTTTTTTATCTTGTCCAAAGCGGAGCAGAGTGACAGATCGTAGGTCAGTTAGTAGGTAAAGATAAGATAGAACTTTATTGATCCTGCAGGAAATTGTTGAACCACACAAGATATAAAAAATACCAACAGTTAAGTTGTAAAACAGGTGAGGTGCAGACAGAAACATTAAAGAGTTTATTGTGCAGGATCAGTTTTATTGTCCAATGTGCAGAAAGGGGGAGGAGTTTAAAAGTTTGAAGGACTTCCTGTGTTGTTCTGTGGAGCACCTGGTGGTCTCAGTCTACGACTGAAGGTGCTGCAGTAAGAGTCCAGGGTGTCATGCAGGGGGGGGGGTGACGTGTTGTTCAGCATCTGGATCAGTTTCCTCATCATCCTCTGCTCAGACACCTCTGTCAGAGACTGCAGGTCCACTCCCAGAACTGAACCAGATCTCTTCATGAGTTTATTGAGTCTGCTGGCATCAGCTTTCTTCACCCTGCTGCCCCAGAACACCACAATGTAGAAGACGACGCTGGAGACCACCGAGTGGTAAAACATCTGCAGCATGGTCCTGCAGATGTTAAAGGGCCTGAGTCTCCTCAGAAGAAAAAGGCGACTCTGTCCTTGTAGACACTTGTTGGTGTTAGCTGTCCAGTCCAGTTTATGGTCTAGGTCAGGGGTCTGCAACCTTTACGATCCAAAGAGACATTTTTACGCCTTTATTCATTAAATTAAATGTGTCTGGAGCTGCAACAACTTGCTACACCTGTGGTTATCAACTGGTGGCCCATGGGCCACTTTAGGTTTGCTGGAGGAGTTTTTTGTGGCCAGTAGGGGTGACATTATGAAGCAAAACATATCTAATGATGAAAGACCAGATTCTTGTAAAGAGGAGGGGGGATCAGTTTTACTATCGTTTTTACATTAAATTCTCTTGAAACTATGCAGACAGCTCTTCAAATAAAGAAATAAAGCATCAAGTATGTTTTACTCCTCGTACTCGCCCCAGTGTTCACATATTTGCAAAAGAAATGAGAGGAAAACTATTTGAACTCATCCTTTTTGTTGTTTGTGTAACAAATAAAATTCACTTTTGTCAGTTTTGGTCAAAGCTTGAAAGAGCCGCTGCAGAGGGACCAAAGAGCCACAGGTTGCAGACCCCTGGTCTAGGTGGACCCCCAGATATTTGTAGCAGTCCAGTGTCCACCTTAGTACCCTTGATGTTGATAGGGTTGGGGGGGCTGATCTTCCTGTAGTCCACCTGCAGCTCTTTAGTTTTTCCAACTTTGACTTGTCCTGTAAGTTGTGAAGAAGAGAGCTGTTTCTCATCTCTGAACCCCTCTGTGTTCCAGGTGATGCCAGCCCAGCCCCCGCTCCTCCCCAGAGGAACCACCCTCCTGAAGGGCGCTCTGGTGGCTCTGGGTGTGGAGGAGCACAGACCTGCTCTCAACCTGCTGCCCTTCTTCCTCTCCTCCCTGCGCCACAAGAGAAACTGACGCCACAGCATCCACTGAATTAAACGCATGTCCCTGAAGAGTTTCATTCGTGCGTACCTTAGAAGTTCTGGTTCATGTCCTGGTTCTGTCCCCGGTGCCTCTCATCTGGACACAGTCGTGACTTTCTGCTGCTTCGCCTGATGTTTAGCTGCACAGGTTCATGTTTGCTGTTAAAGCCATCAGATTAACAGCTGAGAAATAAACGTTTAGCTGCAAACTGTGTCACATAATAATCATTACCTCAATAAAACGATCTTGGACGTGTTCACTACTTTTCACTAAACGATAGACTTCAGTCCTCGGCTGCGTCACGCAAAGACCACGGCATCCACATAGGAAAACAATAAGACATGTGACAAGGTGGCGGCCTTTGGAAGTCTTTTTAAATTGAGATTTAATTATTCACATTTCTCAGTCTTTGCATTAAAGTATAGATTTTTGGTCATGCTAAATTAAGTCAGTTATTACAAAAATTGTGGATATAAAAGTTAAAACTGTAAATGATTAAAATATGAAAATATCGTTTGATCGCACAAAGCCCGACACGCAGAACAACTTCAAGCCAAAATCGTGGAATTTCCATCTGCCACAATGTTCTTTTTAAAAATTTGACTAGAAAAACAAAACGTTTCAACGACGCGACGGCCACCTCAAAAACTGGCCGCCATCTTGGATTATCAGATGTGAGTTCATGACAAAGCAGGTCCTGGGTGTTACTCGTGTTAGACGTGTTCGTACCACCTGCAGCCCCATGAGAAAGAACGTCAGTCTAATTAAAAACTGTCCTTCCAGGAAGTAGTCCTGCCTTCCTCTCGAGTTTGGTTCTTTTTATTATCGGACTACCACAAACTAAATAACTTCAACAGCAAGCAACAAAACAAACAGTTCTTCACAAACTTTGTGTCGAGTCGATAATAAATGAACATTTCAGTCAGAACTGGTTGATGCTTCACAGTTCCTACGGTTTACGATGGTCTGTGACGACACATTTTGTCATCAGTGAATGTGTTTTTGGCAAGATGATGTTTTGAAAAAATAATTTCACACAGCTGAGAGGAGCAGTTGAGATATTCTCATGTGCAGTAACAGGAAGTGACGTCAGTAACAGGAAGTGGTGTGAACGGTGCTAACTAGGATCACAGACAGCAGTGTTCAGATTATCTTTAATCTATCGGAGTTTAAAGAGCAGGAAATTAATAGTAATAATACATATTATTTGTAGGGGCCTCTCTTGGCACTCGGTCACCTTACATTGTCAATCATAAAAACAGACATTATAATACACCATTATTTGCCTGTGATGTCACTTCCTGTTTCACTTGTGCTGCTCCAAGTTCAAAGGAACCAGTTATGTGACAAAACAGGTAAAGGATTTTAAATGTAGTGGGGTTTTTTCCATGTTTATGTGTTTACAAGACTTGCATAAGAAAAGACATGAACTTTAAAGAATGGAAAAAACAAAACAATTACTTTGTTTCTATTTTTTGTTGCATTTTCTAAAACACGAAAGTTGAAAAATGAAAACAGAAATATATATATAGATCTATATATATATATATTTATCTATATATAGATATATCTATATATAGATAAATAGATATAGATATAGATAAATATATAGATACATAGACATATATATATATATAGACATATATATATATGTCTATATATATATATATATATATATATTTCTGTTTTCATTTTTCAACTTTCGTGTTTTAGAAAATGCAACAAAAAATAGAAACAAAGTAATTGTTTTGTTTTTTCCATTCTTTAAAGTTCATGTCTTTTCTTATGCAAGTCTTGTAAACACATAAACATGGAAAAAACCCCACTACATTTAAAATCCTTTACCTGTTTTGTCAC